ATGTCATATTTTTATTTTTGATCGCTTTTCATTGTGTTTCCAGATGACGGACGGTTCGAAGACGATCGAGGGGGCGGAGCGAGGACAAGGAAAACAACGAGGATTCTGCCGTGAGACCGTTCTGCAACCGGTCGGATGACCGGGTCGTCAACTCTGCCATTTGTCCGCCTCTTCTATGATCTACGTATTGTTGTTCTGCTCATGATATCTCATGCCTTATGTCTGTTTGTCGTAATGCTTCTACATGAAGTTTATTATCCTATGATGTTGTGGAATTTGTGTGGTTTGGTTGGGCATGCCCGAGGCCTGATAGCTTGATTAAGAGGGGAGGATGCTAAGAGGACATCCAATCCTTTACTGGTAGCAGCGAGTGCGGCGTCATTGAACCCCGCAATTCACCGACCTAAATTCCTCTTATTAGAAGTGGACCTCACGGGATTAGCTCGTGAGATGACCGGTATAGGCCTCTACCGGGGGGCGAGCGGATTGATGGAATCAGGTGAATAGTGCCAGTCGTCTGGCCAACTTCTGGCGCACTCATTGTTCGTTCTCTTTTCATTTCTACCGCTTCCCTTGCATTTAATGCAGCGGTGTTTGTCGGTGAACTATTCGTTGTGAAGTGATGTTTATACACCCGGGTGGAAACAGTCATAAGGACTTTCTGTCAATTGCGAGAAAAATCTCGGAAGAGGTAGACAAATGGAACCGAAGTAGAAACCTATACAAAATCACAGCTCTTTCTATGTACTAGACTCAAGTATAGATATTTCGCGAACTCTATTTACTATGACGGTCGTTTTATTTTTCGAAGCGGCAGATCCATAATGATTTCCTTTCTGTGAGGCTCCAATGCGACCCTCTTAACTCTATGACAAATTTGAAATTCAAATTCAAGCCTTCTTTGTTTTCATTCGCTTGGAGTTTGAACATGTTCTCATGACGGGCATCTACAGTACCCCGACACAAAGCGCTGACGCAAATTCTTTATCGCGCAGTCAATCTCGCGAGGGCAAAAGCCGACACATCAGCGCAATGGTCTTTGCAAACCGCAAATGCCGCAGATTTTTTCTGGCGCTTTCCCAAGCTTCAGGAATCAAACAAAGCGCTTTGAAATCAGTTCCCAGCGCAAATTGAAACATCGGCTGTGATGACAAATGCTGATAGGGGGTGTAAGGTCGAACAAGTATATAGAGCTGGCGGAGGCACTTACCAGCCCTTTTGCTGTTGTGTTCTCAGGAGAACAATCTCCCGGCGCACATCTCACCATTAGTCCAGCCATAACTCGTTCACAGCGTTCAATTCGGAGTTCACCTGCTTCCCAAAATCTTTCTCATCAATCTTTGCCATCTGTATTGAGTACTCCTACTTCTAGTCAGGCAACTCCCACCCATTCCCAGGTAAACCCTTCTATGGAGGGTGACCCTGTATCTACACCCATCTGTGGCCTGACCTACGGCAGCTCACACCTAAACCGATCAAATGCTTTTCCGGATCTGATGATCAAGACTTCGAAAGCTGGTTGCGAAAATTTGAGGACGTGGTTCGCATGGTCGCTCCACCCATTGCCGGACCAGCTACGTATTAACACCTTGGTTGGATTTTTGGAAGGAGGGGCCAGGGACATCATCGACGATCTGTCAGACATCGATAAAAATTCTTATGCAAAAGTGGTTGACCACCTTCGCACGCATTTTGAGTCGCCCCAATTTCGAAGTTTGGCCAGGCAACAACTCTCCGATTGTAAGCAGGGGCCGACTGAAAGTGCCCGTGAGTTTGCTGACCGAATAAAGCAGATCGTTAAGAAGGTAACTCGAGGTCAGCCTAAGCAGGCACAGAATGAGCGCCTACTGGATGAATTCCAGGATAGATTAAAACCCGCGCTAAGATTCCATGTAAAAGCCGCGAATCCCCTTACTTTTGAGGAAGCCGTGGTTAAAGCCACTACGTATGAGTCCCTTCTAAATGATGTGGCAAGTGCCATTACCATTTTTCCTGGCACCCAGCCTACCGCTCCTCCACCTGTTCGTGTGGTAGCCGCACGAAATACCTCCGCTCCACTCGGACCGGACCAATACCGACAGAGATTTCCAAGACAACAACGTAGGAAAAGTCGAACTTATTATCCTAGCAATAATAGATCGAGACGATTCTGGGAAAGAGCACCTAATGCAGATATAATCTGCTACCGTTGTGGGAGAAAAGGTCACTTCCAAACCTTTTGCCATTACAGCTTGCCGCCAGCCGGCTTACAGCCACCCCAATTACCGGCGCCACGCAACGGAAATCCACCTCAAAACGCGAACTTTTCCCGGGTTTCTCGTAATGCGAATCAAGGTGACGATGTCCCCCACACCGTTTCGAGTCGATCCATATATGCGGGACCAGGGAGGCGAAATGAAGTTCTCACAGCGGACACCTCGAATGACGGGATCCAGAGTACTGATACGGTTTCCGAAGAGGACAAGGATGCCCGCATAGCGGCACTCATCGAAAGAAATAATGCGTTAGCGGACTTAGTGTTCGCAACCCAGAACACAACCATTTCCGATGATCCCGATGGTGAATCAGTTCGTAGACCCACAACGTCCAGCAAAACACCTGCATGGGCATACATGTGTATGACGATTTGGCTCTTGCATCCTGCGCACAGGCCTCCTCATTGCCTCCAGCTTACCTATGCTCCAATAGGTCCCCTCTCAGTTATTGGAAGATACCTGAGCAAATTAATTGCTCTAGAATTTTGCCGCCGTGGTCTTCCACCCCACAGTTTTTGTCGCTCAATGTGTACCGACCTAACACAATCCGTTACCAGAGTATGGCCCACGTGTGCCGAATCATTTCACAAACTGTAGTGTACTCCGTTAACTTTTTTGGCGCGCGGTCGCAAAGTGTCTCTACACATGAGAATGCGGTACCTGTAGGAGTCTGTCAGCATATGGTACGCCATAAGTCGTGTGCTTATGGTGAACTCTTAGCCGTAGGCACCGTGTGGAAAACCCTAAACCGCATCCAATTTGAGTGGCCATCTGCGCCTTTCCGTTGCTGTTCCGATAACACGGTAACAGTCACCAATTGTGTGGTGTTTCAGACTAAGGTGTTCGCATATCACGGCTCTCCTACGATCGAAAGCCCTATTGGACCACTACCTGGCTGTCAATACAAGGATGGATCCTGTACCACCTCAGCTGGCGCAGCCGTCATTTGGACACCGGAAAAGGATGAGCAGTGCAGGTATGTATTAGTCTCGCCCATGAAAGGCACATTGATTGACAATGTGTGGCTCAGTGAGTCCAAAGAATTTGCTCTCTCTTTCTCATTGTCTGGTCCTCTCTTGCATGACTGCAATCACCCTCTCATTGTCACGGACCAGGGTTACGGTATCGAAATTTCACATACCACAGGCCGTTCAAAAAGAGAGATCATTAGTCCCATTTTGCAACAAGTGGGACTGGCTACTACTAACCAATTAGCGGCACAGCTTTTAGCAGTCGAAGATGGTTACAGCACTCGCTCAATGCCTCTTTCCACCATTCCATTCTTCACCTTTGTAGATCGGTGAATTCATTGAGCACATCTCTCATCAGTGCAATTTCCACCCATCCCACATTAACGATGCGCAAGATTTTGCAGCGTTCCGATATAGAGGCAACCTTTGTGGGAGAAAACATTGTGCGCACAAAGTCATGCGTGCCTATTGCCAGTTCTATGTACCAGCTATTGCCATTCAATTCCTCGTGCTTCTCGTACCCAGCAGTACGGGTTTCTCTTCCCAACGGGTCCTATTGGAAAACATTCATTGATCCCGTTACAGGTATTTTATCCAATAATGTGTCTCCTATAGAGTGTAGGCAGAAAATGATGTTCGAATTTGCACATAATGGATCTATTACTCGATTTTATCCCATGTCTGGTACTTATGAGGTAGTTGACCCCTCGCTCATTACAGTAATTCCCCATACCGATAACCCTCCACTCGCTGATATCAAACCGGCCATTACACTTTTCCACAACCTCGTTTTGACAAATATCAGCGAATTTGCACCCAATATAGAATTCGGTGAATTATGGTCGGCAGTAGAGGGAAATCAGGCCGCGTTGGATGCCCATCTAGACACCCACCCACCAGACGGCAAGGATGGTTCTTCTACCACTCTTGTAGCCGCACAACTTTCTCTTAATCCCCTTCCATACCTGTATAAATACCTTTATCAGCCTTGGGTTGCCATATGTTGCCTTTTGGTCACTATTAATGTCACCATTCATATACTCGCATTGTATGCCTCGTTTTCTTCTGATTCATTTCTTGGTCGTTTCCTGAATAATATTCCTCGACCCGGCGCCATTCGCACCGATGCCATTATGATGCCAGATCGAATCCCTGTACCTTCTGATCCCCGCCAACAGGCGCCTTTTCCATACGATTTTCCTCGAGTCTTTCACATTTCTTCACGACATTCCTCATTGTCTGCTCATATCCCCCTTAAAATCAATGGAATTAGCGTTTCCGCGTTGATTGATACTGGTTCATGCATTACCCTAGCGGGCCAAAACCTATGCCCAGCGTCGGGATCTTCCAATTAGACCCACCGCAGGCCGACACTGCCATCGGCATGGCGGGTACCCAGGTGGCGCTAGCGGGATCCAAAAAGGTCACGCTACAAATTGAAAACATAATTATCCACCCTGTTCTCCATTTCACTAAAGTTCGTTGCGTGCCACATATGGATTCCATTTATGAAGTCATTTTAGGGAATGACACTCTCGCCTTGCTTCCTTTGAATGACAATTCATTTTCGTGACCAGAAAGTATACTTTGGGTCGACGATGCTCCCTTTGGGCAGGTTCCCACAACATACTTCGCATATCGGAAACAACCCTCTCCAAGTCCGCGCGAGGAAAACCATCACCATACCAGCAAATTCTGAGTCTTTCGTCTCCTGTGTAGTACGAACCCCACAACCCCCGAAGGACCTCGTCTTGGTTTCACAATGTGGGAAAATTGCGAATAAGGACCTCATTGTAGCTCCTGCAATAATTTCATCTCACGAACCCGTGCTTCTAGTGTCCAATCTCACCAATCAATCGATCACGCTGTATGAGGGCATGCGTCTGGCGACGGCGGATACGGTAGACGCCGACGGACATGTGCCAGCGCGGGACAACATTGTTTCTCCCCCACTACCCATTTCATGTTCGACGGACATTATTCCGAGGGACCCTTCCTATAAAGTGGACCTGGAAAATTGTGATTTAAACCCTACCCAACGGGAGGAACTGAAACAACTACTGGACTCCTTTTCCGACGTATTTTCGAAACATCAGTACGATATAGGTAGCTGCACGGCGGGAAAGGTACACATTTTCACAACCAATGACCCACCAGCCAAAATCCGGCCCTACCGTGTGCCAACTAAATACAGAGAAGAGCTCCAAAAACATATCAATATGTTGTTGAGGGCTGGGGTCATGAAAGAATCCCACACCCCATGGGTCCAGCCTGGTGGTAGTGCGTAAAAAGGACAACTCTCTGCGTGTATGCCTTGACATGCGACGCCCAATTAATGCCGTCACCTGAAACTCTACCGACCCCTATCCCGTACCACGAATCGACGTGGTCCTCGAAAAGATTGGAGGAAACCAATACTACACCACCCTAGATCTGGCAAGCGGATACCTCCAGTTGCCCCTCGACGACGAAAGTAGTTACAAATGCGGAATAATAACAGAGAACAAGGTTTATCAGATGACCCATCTCCTTTTGGTCTAAAGCGGCCGGTAGCTACTTCGCGCGTATCATGGCTAAAGTGCTCGGAGGCTTGGATGACAACGTCCTTACATATATAGACGACATCCTCATTTATAGTAAGGATTTTCCAACCCACCTGGAAGCAATTCGAAAAGTTCTGTCTCGGTTGAGGCAATTTAACCTCAAAGCGTCACCCAAAAAGTGCGTTTTTGCAAGAACTCAAATCACGTTTTTGGGGCATGTCATAAACAAGAACAGTTACTCACCGGCGGAGGCAAATACAAAAGCCGTTCGAGAATTCCCTACCCCGCGCAATGTGAAAGAAGTAAAGCGCTTTCTCGGGATGGTAGGATTTTTCAGGAAATTCATCCCTAATTTTGCCAATGTCGCCGAGCCGTTGACATGGCTTACCCGAAAGGATAACAAATTTCAGTGGACAGACCGCCAAGAGGCTGCTTTCGTTGAATTGCGCGACGCCCTCATTCAAAAGCCTATCCTTGGCTTTCCCAATTACGATAAGCAATTCCATATTTTCACCGATGCCAGTGCGGTGGCACAAGCAGGCGCCCTAATGCAAGAGTTCGACGAGGGCAAAAACCGATTCTATGCAGTGGCATACTGTAGCCGCACCCTCAGTGAGACAGAACGCAGGTGGCCCGCAGTACAAATTGAACTCGGGGCTATTATTTATGCCCTGCGGCAATTTAAACCCTATATATGTATGACGAAAGTCGTGCTCCATAGCGACCACAAACCATTAACTTTTCTCCTTAATAAGAGTAAAACGCATGATAATCTCGCGCGATGGTTGATTGAATTGCAAAGCTACGATATTAAAGTCGTCCATATTAAGGGCAAGCAAAATACGGTAGCTGATGCTCTTTCTCGCGCAAATGAAGGTAAAGACGACACATCGGGCGTAGGCGACGAGCTTAACGACATTATTGAATTCCCCGTCAGCTTGCCAATGTCTTTTGAGCTCGCGCATGGCGCCACTTCAGGCCGTGGCCATGCCGTGTCAAACTTTTGTGAAAGGGATGGACCATTCCGTCAACATGGCGGAAGAACAGCGCAAAGACCCATTTCTGAATTCGGTGTTCCGTCTTAAGACCGACCCATCTTCCGCTTTCTCTTTACCGGAGCAGCAAAAGGCCAACCTTATAGATTTTACCAGTAGGGTTACGATCGCGCCCAACGTTGCCTGTATTACCAGCTCGGATGTACATAAATGGTGTGACGCTTGCCTGACATGTCAAATGCGGCGCCAACCCAATCCCGCCTTTCAAAGAACGGTTAATTCCGGTGCATAGCGAAGCGGTCTTTCGCCAAAGTCGGACTCGACCTGTGCGGACCCCTCAAAGTCACCGAAAGAGGGAACCGATATATCTTGAATATGATCTGTTGGTTCACAAGATATGTCATTTCAGTGCCTCTACCAGACGCACGCGCGAATACTATTGCTCACGCACTTCTCACAGAATGCGTTCTAAAATACGGTACTATGTCTGAACTCATATCCGATCAGGCTTCTAGTTTCACATCTCATTTCTACCAGGAGTTCTGTAATTTGCTTTATATTCAGCATAAACTTGCCACCCCATATCATTCCATGGGAAACGGGGCTACTGAAAGGACATTCCGTACCTTCGAATCTATGCTCTCAAAATTTATAAACATTAAGCAAGAGGACTGGGACCTCTTTCTGCCATGCGTGGCATTTTGTTACAATACCACCATTAACGACGCCACTGGCGAGTCGCCATATTTCCTCCTTTTCGGTCGAGACCCTATATTCGCTATTGACCGTATAATAGAACCGCAATCCCCGGCGCAAATACCAGATCTCAATGAGACAGCCGAATATAAGGCCCAGTTAGTCTCAGCGTTGCAGCTCGCGTGGTCTAACGCAGCCGAATACGCGCGAGAATATAAAACTAAAATGAAGAGTGGCTATGACAAAACGGCTCGACCACTTAAAATTCAAGTTGGTGATAAAGTCTTTTTCAAGAATTATACAAACAAACAGGGCCTTGCTCGAAAGCTTTGTTTTCCATGGATCGGGCAGTTTCGAGTCCTAAAAGTCGATCCTCCGCATGCGACCATCGTCAGTATAACCTCACCCCAATCTAAACCGCGTAGGGTTCATATGAATCAAATTAAAAAGGTTTTCGACTGTTCGGGTCCTGCCTCTACCCTCCCTACGATCCCAGAGGAAGAAGAGGACATGCTTCTCCCTCTGCCGATCGATCCTATCGTTGGGTACGATCACTCCACACGTAAGACGGACGCACAAGCAACTCTGAGGACCGAGCCCTCTCACTCTTATAACTTGCGGCCACGAAAAGCTCCATCGTACCTAGCACCTGGAACCTAGTTTGACTCGCTGCAACTCTTGTATGATCAGTCCTATCGAATGCGTCTATCCACTCCTTTCTTGAAAGTTTTCACTTTCATTTTGCATTGAATATGCTCGTTCTATCCCCGCTTCCGCCTATCGTTCCGTCGACATTTTCTTTCAAGAATGCTATTTTTTGAACATATCTATCCCAGATATCATGGAGCATTCACCCCACCTTTCACCTGAGCGTCCTTGTGACGAAGAATCTCTGAACGTTACCTCAACCGAGGAACCTTCATCTGATCTTAGCAAACCTTCTGATGACGAACCACCGACAGCCGTCAGTAACACTGAAGACGCGCAGGTCGGGAAACGTCGAGCCCTCTATGGACGAACAAATGGACGTGTCCACTCCGACGCCGTGTACAACACCAACAGAACCGGCTACGGAGCAAATGGATGAGTCTTTTCCTTCGCTCGTTACCTCCTCTGAGGAACCAGCACCTAAATACTCCCAAACTCGTAGTGACAAGAGTTCATCGAGTGACACTACTAGCTCTTCCGATTCGGATTCATCCTCTAGTTCGGATGACTCCTCATCAGAAGACTCAGAGACTAGTGTTAGTTCGTCTCCAGACGTGCCCATTACCGAAGCTCAGGCGACGGAATCGGCAAACAAACATGATCAAAACTTGGCAACATCCGCTGAGGGTGAACAAACTGAAGGCGAACCAATGGAAGGTGGAGGTATAAGCGACGCAGTCACCTCTCTGGTGAAAGAGGCTTCGCTACGTCCACCTAGCCCTATCGCCGGTCCTTCGCGAGACAATGTTCCTAGAATAACATACTCGCAGAAGGAAGAGCCGTCCTGAAAAGCCTCTGGAAAAATTCACAAAACATCCATGGGCTCATTTACTCCGCGGTGAAAACTCCTCCTGTCGTGTCCGATGACTACGACAGTGACTTACGTGATTCAGATTTTGAGAAAATACCTATTTCAGGTTACAGCGGTCTTGTCAATGGACTTTTCCCAGCGCAATGCGACCCAGCAACCAGGGTAGGACGGCAACATCAATTCTGGCTGCGGTCGGTCCGGAAGCCATCGGAGCCTTTCGAGATAACAACAACTCTTCTCAGCTCCTGGAAATGCGGCGACAGGGTCAACCATTGCCGGGAATCCCGATCGTAGAACTCGCTCGTTCCGTTGAGGAATCGAATGCTTATGTTAAAGGACTAGTGCTTGATGGTAACACAGCACCAGTTCTCTACCGTGTCAAAAATTTCTTCGGTAATACGGTGAAACTTGAAACCGTACATGTTGAAGTCGCTCTACCAGACCGACTAGATTTACATACCATCCAATTGGATTCATTCGCAATTAACATCGTTACAGGTAAAAGTGGTCTTACCCTGACAAAACTCATTATTCGGCGATCTTATATGGGTTTACAAGCTATCTGTAACGGTTACATTCGAAAAGTCGGACATGCCGCTTCCGCAAACGGTGAGTGATGCC